CCTGGCAATCTTGATTCCAGCTTGTGATTCATTCAGCCTGGCATTTTGCTTGATGTACTCTGCATATAAGTTATAAAAGCAGGCAGCCTTGTCATGCTCCTTTCCCAATTTTGAACCAGTCAGTTGTTCCATGTCTGGTTCTGTTGCTTCTTGACCTACACACAGGTTTCTCAGGAGACCAGTAAGGTGATCTGGTATTCTCATCTCTTTAAGAAGGAAATGGCAGGAGAAAATGCCAAGTTATTCCAGTATTCTTGCCTCGAGAACCCCGAGAACAGTATGTAAAGGCAAAAAGACACCATACCAGAAGCTGAGCCTCTCAGATCAGAAGGTGTCTAATACTCTACTGGGGAAGAGTAGAGGGCAATTACTAATAACTCCATAAAAAATGAAGTGGCTGGGCCAGAGCAGAAACAACATTCAGTTGTGGATGTGTCTGATGATGAAATAAAGTCCATTGCTGCATAGGAACCTGGAATGTTAGGTCCATGAATCAAGGTAAATTGGACATGGCATGGCAGGCAGGAGATGGCAAGATTGAACATAGATATCCTAGGAATCAGTAAACTAAAATGGATGGGAATGGGAGAATTTAACTCAGATTACCATTATATCTGCTACTGTGGGCAAGAATCCTTAGAAGAAATGGAATAGCCCTCGTAGTCAACAAAAGTTCAAAATGCAATACTTGGATGTAACCTCAAAAATAACAAAACGATCTCAGTCCATTTCTAAGGCAAACTATTCAACATTATTGTAATCTAAGTCTATAGCCCAATCATTGATGCTGAAGTACCTGAAGTTCACTGGTTCTCTGAAGACCTATAAGACCTTCTAGAACTCACACCCAAAAAAGATGTCCTTTTCATCATAGGGGATTGGAATGGAAAACTAGGAAGTCAAAAGATACTCAGAATAACAAGAAAGTTTGGTCTTGAAGTACAAAATGAAGCAGGGAAAAGGCTAAGAGAATTTTGTCTCTCTGGTTGGGGAACAAAGATATCACAAGCTGTGTGGCATGGCCAAAAAACAAAACAAAACCCTGTAAGATGGCAAACTAAAAAAAATGAATGTTAAAAAGTTTGTAACTCCAGGGAAAAAACTAAAGTCTTTGACTAAGATTTTGTCTGAGGAATAGGGAGGGATCCTTACAGACATTCAGGGAGAATAATGAGAGAGAACAAAATTGTTTTCTGCTTGCTTCCTTCCAAATCCAGTGTGTTCATCAAATTAGGAACCACGATTTAACTAGATTTCTGTCACTTACTGGGGCTTTCTAGTAGCTCAGATGGTAAAGAATCTGCCTGTAATGCTGGAGACCCTGGTTTGATCCTTGGGTCAGGAAGATCTCCTAGAGAAGGGAATGGCTACCCACTCCAGTACCCTTGCCTGGAGAATTCTATGAACAGAGGAGCCTGGGGGTGGAGGGTACAGTCCATGGGGTTGCAGAGTCGGACACCACTGACCAACTATTTACCTTATCTTACCTGTCACTTATAACCAAAGACGTATTATAAAGCGTCAGTTTTAGTTTAAACAGGGTTTCTCAACAGTGTCACTAATAACATTTTGGACTCCCTTGTCAGGTTAATGCAAGGAATGTTTCTTTTTTTCTCTACTCCTCTTCAAGGATGTCAAATATCCACCAGGGGGCCGATGTCAACTGCCCCCAGCTGAAAGCCAACAAAGGTTTGTGTCCTTCAGTACTAATCTCTGAGAATATTGGGAACAAGAGAGACATACATACAGTTCAGAGAAAATAGGCAAAGAACTAAATGCACACAAAAATCTTGAAATAATTCAAATTCATAATAAATTCTCTGAAGGAAACAAATGCGATACTAAAATGAGAAATAATGGAGTGAAGAGTGCTACTTTATTTATTTGTTTTAGGAGTGCTACTTTGTTTTTCTTTAATGTTTGTTTGTTTATTCAGCTGTATCAGATCTTAGTGGAACATGGGATCTTTCGTTGGGGCCCACAGACTCTCCAGTTGTGGTGCATCGGTTTAAGTTGCTCTGTGGCAGGTGGGACCTTAGTTCCCTGACCAGGAATTGAACCTGAGTCCCCTGCATTGCAAAGCAGATTCTTAACTACTTGGACCACCTGGGGAGTTCTCAAGAGTGCTACTTTAAACAGAGAATATCTAGGTAGGAGTTAGGTAAATGAGGGATTGGAGTTCGGAGTATCTGGTCCAATTATATCTGACACAAGTGTATCTGAGGGAACAGCATTTGTAAAGGCTTTTTCAGTCTCAAGTACAGGAGCATTGAAATGTATGTTTTGTGCTTTGCTATTTTACTTGCCCTTAGTTGCAAAAATGAGAAGGTGTTTGTTTTGATGTTCATTCCCTGCCCTCTGCCCCACCCCCATCCCCATTTGGAGAGCCTTCACTATCTGGCCTGATGCATGACTTCAGGGTGTACAGTTCACATCACGCTAGACACAGGTGGTACTTCCAGAGTTCTGTGCCAGAATTAATGTGATTCAGCTGGGTGTCCACTCTATGGAATGTATAATCTCTCCTGTCTGAGAGGGAGTTGATAGATTTCCCGGTGACAGCATCCTTCCTTATGGCCTATTGTTGAGGTATTGTTTGAAGAAAAGTAAGGAATTAAGGATTCTAGATATAAAGGGGTAAAAGGATAAATGTAAACCAAGCTCCTCCATCCATGGGATTCTCCAGGCAAGAATACTGGAGTGGGTTGCCATTTCCTTCTCCAGGGGATCTTCCCGAATCAGGGATCGAACCCAGGTCTCCCGCATTGCAGGCAGATACTTTAACCTCTGAGTCATCATGGAAGCCTTAGATATAAAGGGATAAAAGGATAAATGTAAACCAGGGGTTGGCAGGAAGGGTGGGAATTCATTAAAGTTAAAAGTGGGAGAGCTACTGCATTGTCAGTGTGAATTTGTTTCATTTTCAAGGACTGATCCATAGCAAGGACTAGACCTGGTGTCCAAATGAAAGGCACTTGCCTGTTGTCATCTAGGCAATGAGTCACACCTGCCTTGAAAAGTCACATCATTTGTTTTCCCTTTGCCCTAGAATTCCTGCAGGACAGATAAGTCAAAGAGGAAAAGAGGATGTTGATTATTAAGCAGGTTGGTGGGAAGACTTTGGGTCTGAGCTAAATTTGCTTGAATTCTGCAATAACATAACATAACTGATACATTTTCAATGCAGGAATTTTTGGAGCAATGACTTTTGCCTTTTGTCTATTTAGTGTCTTAATGATTCATGGAAATATATACATGTATATACACATTTATATATGAGCTCTTTATTAGTTACATTGATACATATTTCAAATATCTTCTACTTGCTGACTTAACTTTTTCATCTCTTTATAGTGTCTTTTGATGCAGAGATGACTTTTTTATAGGTGACAATTTTTGCCAGCAATGTTACTTAATAATGGAAACAGTTTCAAACCTCCTTTTTCAAAATGCTCTCTTCATTGCACAAGTTTCTTTCAAAAAGCAGTTCTCACTCATTTTTGAAACACAGCTTTTACTCTAGGACCATAGGGAAATGTATACATTAAAAAGTTGTTTTGTTATTAGCATTGCTAATAACAGCCACTTATCACCAGAAAGGTTCATAAAATTTTAAAACGTAAAACACTTGTCTTTTTTCAAATAAACCTATAAAACTTTCCTTTTGTCAGATAGTACTTTGCTACAAGGTGTCAGGGAACTAATGGTTTCATGAAATAAAAATTAAACACATTGCTGACATCTTCCAGTATGTAAACTGCAATATTTTGAAATATGCCAACAGTCAGTTAACCCAGGATAGGTTGTGGTGCAAACTGAGGACTCGGTGTCAGTCCCTACATAGGAAGATGGCAAAAGTTTATTCCTTTCATTTTTACCATATGAATAGAATTAGAAGCTCTCATATTCTCTATTTGTTCCTGACAGAGATGGATCATCTTAATGATCCATAACACTTGAGTACAAGCTCCCATTTTGGAGACCAAAAAGTTAGAAATAAACAGACACGTTGAAATTGACAATTGGAACAATTAATATTAACTGTTTTATTGTTTGCATATTAATCAGTTGAATGGATTTTAACAGGTCCATAAATTATTAATAGAAAGCAGATCTCTTTTTTTTTTTTTGGCAGATGTCTTTAAATGCTTTAGTCACTAAACAGATACTAAGGTTTCAATGAATATTTGATCTGATCTTGATTTTGGCCTAAGGGAAAACGGGAGAGATGAATTTCTACTTTGTAGATGTGGAAAAAGAAACACAATGACTATCAGAGCCTAGGTCCTAATATGTTGGGAGAAGAGAGAGAGGAAGGAAAAAGTGTTGAATTAACTAAACTGGTATTTCTTTGCCCCTTTAGTGGGCAGCCTAAACGCAAATTCTGTAATGCATCGAGACAGACCTGTTAATGGTCGTAGTGTGACTGTACAAGAGGGCGAGAACTCGTGTAGAAACGAAGTGTCCCAAATCTAAAATTGCTCTCCAGGTACACGCTGCCTGAGCCGTTAGCTCCTTAGGAGGTCTCAGCGGGGACAGCAGCCTGGTCTCCGCACCTGGACCCGGCCGCCGCGGCCACGCCCCAGAGACGGGGCGGGCTCTCCTCGCAGCCCCGCCCTCCCCGCCCTCCCGCAACTCCCCAGACGCCTGCGGCGACGGCGGGGACACCGGAAGGAGCGGCAGCTGCTGCGGGAAGTGGCTGGTGCGGGAGGCGGGGGACCCGCGGGCTAAGCTGCAGAGCTGTTTTCCGGCGCGCAGGACGCGAAGCCTCCCGTCTCCTAGGTCAGGAGAAGAAAAGAGGAGTTGGTGAAGGTGCGGCCACAGGCCGCCGTTGGCCGCGCTGGCGGGGCCCGTAGGGAAGGCCGTGGAGGTGAGCGCGACGCTGCTGGGAGGGGCGCGGGGCCGAAGGGCGCCCGCCTGCAGCCAGGGGCGGGTCTGTGTTCTCGCCGCCGCGCTCTGGGGCTGTGGCTGCTGTAGCGGCCTCTTTTTCTTGATTCCGGATGGTGGTGAGCGCGCGGGTGGATAGAAGGCCTAGGCCGCTCCAGTGCTCTGCGCTGATGATTGGTGGCCGCCCCGGTAGGGGTCGGCGGAGGACGCGAGTCAGTCGTAGGTTTGAGGAAGGGTTCCCAGGGTGCGCTTCCCTGGGAGGCAGGAGGGGTCAGGCGAGTCCCTGAGAGGGTCTCCGCTCCTTTCCTCGGTCCGCATTCCAGCTTGCCGGCCCCGCACGTTGGGCGCGGAAGACTGGAAGCCCCGCAGCGCGCTGGCTCCGGGGTTCTGGTTTCGCTTTGCCGCACAGTTGGGGTGATCGGACCCATTCGTGCAGCCCCAGGGGCCCCGTTATTCTTTGTTGTCAGCGGGAAAACCTAGGCGGCGGCGTCCCTGGAATTTTTCTTCGATGAATATTTAATCCCGACTGTTTTCAGAGGTTACGGTAGCCCTTGCGGTCTGTCCATCCGCAGCTTTTGTTTGAGTCAGTTTCCATGGTGTGTGGTTTCCCAGACCTTTACTCTTAACATGTTTACCTACTATAAAATGCTTTTCTTTGAATGATTGTTGGATGACTCTGGTGCTTTACACTCAAGTTATTTTTAGGGTTTATATTTTCATATAATCAGTATAAGGCCAGGAAATTGGGACAGTGACAACAACACCGGCAGGCGCGTAGGCTCTAAACTGACGCTAAATTTTACCACAAGGATCTCTAGACTTCTTGCTTAATAGATGTATAGAACTGTAGAATTTTTTAGTTTGATCAGATTATTTTTCTTTTAAGGAAAATTTGTTTCAAAAAATAATGAGGCTGTCCTAGTTAGTTTCTGGTTGAAGCAGAAGGTCTGATCAAAACAAATAATCAGCTATTTGGTCTGAACATAATATGAATATTGTTAGTGAATTCATGCTGTTAATATAAACATGGGGGAAAATGGGAATCTTATTGAAAGACAATGCTAATCTTAAGAAAAAGCAATAGGAATAAATTGTACTACACCAGGGGCTTTATGTTATTTTACTTTGGCAGGGTTGAAAAAAAATGGACAGTACAAGAAATATTCCAGAAATAAATTATGTGACCTCTTGCCAAATGCAGGAGAGATAGTCTGCTTAAGATTGCTTCTTATTTTTTTATCTGGTTTAGAGCCAGCTTTCACTTTTTTGTCTTTTGTGATTCTTTATAATCTATTTGTAACCAAAAACATAAATGCATTTAATGGCATTAGATTGTAGTAGATAAATTATTTTAATAATTTGAAATGCAACGTTGAGATGATTTTAACATTTATGTATTGCTGTTGTAATTTTTAGTGACTTTTCAAATGTACAATCTTATTTGATCCTCATGCCTGTTCTCTGAGTTAGGAATGCCAAGAAGTAAAGCCTTTTCCCACAACAGAGACATTTTGAGATTGTGTAAGGATTAGAATTTCTCTAAAGCCTGAAATAATCTTGCTGAAATAACCTTTGATATAAATTGGAATTCAGCTAGATTTTGGAGCACTGTGAACTATAACGTGACATACTGTGGACTCTTAAAGGACATGAAGAACATAAATGGTGAAAGATTTTTGGTGAGAAATGTGAAATGTAGTCATTTCTTAAAAATAAAGGAATAAATAGCAGCTTTTTTTGGTGTAGATTTTTTGACTTTTTTTTTTTTTTTTAATTTGTCTGAGCTGGGTCTTAGTTGTGGCATGTGGCATCTAGTTGCCTGACCAGGGATCAGACTCAGGCCACCTGCATTAGGAACTCAGAGTCTTAACCACTGGACCACAGTGAAGTCCCTCATGTAGTTTTTAAACTTTTTTTTTAAAGTCTGCATGCAATTTCAGGAGCATTTTGATAAGTAGTTGAAAAGAGAATGAGATGAGTACAGTTGGTTTGTCTATAAATTTATGAACTTATGAATACAAAATCTATGAATTTTATACAATATAGTGTGCATGTGTGAGCGTGTGTATATCAGGAGAACTAATACTTAAGAGACAATGCATATGTCAAAATAACTGTTTTTTTCAAAAGTTACTTTAGAATGCCAAGCAGGTCAGATTCTGTGGGTCTATCAGGGAAAACCCTCTGGAAAATACAAAAAGTGAAACATGGTTTCAGCCCTTAGAGTCAGAATTGTAGTCAGGCTTGGGTAATTTTTTTTACAACTATGGTAAGGTTGTATATGGTATTATGGTATTATAATCAGGTATTTATGGTATTATAATCATATAATCATGCTATGGTATTATAATCAGGAATTTAGGTGAGGAAGACATACTTGTGATTGAATCTTGATAGAGATGACATTTGACATCTGTGAACTTTGGAGGATTTTCAACAGGAGGACATTGTTAATGAACAGATTATCGTGTTCCTGGGAAGGTACAACTTATATTTGAGAAAGGATCAGTAGAGCAATTTGGCTGATCATAAGTTATGGTTTATATAAGCTAGTAGTAAGAGATGAAAAAATTTTGAAAGCCTTTATTGAAGATGTTTTGTTAGAAGAAGTGTGTGATTCAGGCTTCCCAGGTGCTGCTGCTCCTGCTGCTGCGTTGCTTCAGTCGTGTCCGACTCTGTGCGACCCCATAGACGGCAGCCCACCAGGCTCTCCTGTCCCTGGGATTCTCCAGGCAAGAACACTGGAGTGGGTCGCCATTTCCTTCTCCAATGCATGAAAGTGAAAAGTGAAAGTGAAGTTGCTCAGTCGTGTCCGACTCTTAGCGACCCCATGGACTGCAGCCCACCAGGCTCCTCCGTCCATGAGGTTTTCCAGGCAAGAGGACTGGAGTGGGGTGCCAGTGCCTTCTCCGCCCAGGTGGTGCTAGTGGTAAAAAAAAAAAAAAAAAACCCTGCCGATGCAGGAGACATAAGAGATAAAGGTTCGATCCCTGAATGAGGGCACGGCAACCAACTCCAGTATTCTTGCCTGGAAAATCCCATGGACAGAGGAACCTGGTGGGCTACAGTCCATAGGGTCACAAAGAGTCAGACTCGACTGAAGTGACTTAACACACACACATAGTATGTGATCCACAGAATAAGCTGTGATTTGGGAGATGATTGAGACCAAGAGAACACTTGAGCAGCTTTAGGCTGAGCAAGATCTTGATAGTGTCACTTTTGTGACCCTTCTAGCTCCTCTGAAGTGCTATCTTGAAAGCAGACCTGGATATAACGTGAATGTAGGTGAGATGCCAGGAAGCATAAGGGTAAAGAGTCAGGAAAGGGGGAAAAAGCCAGTGATGGGCAACTGGGGGTTTAATCCTGTGGAAATTTTTATAGAACTGCCTCAGAATTGTCCTAGCAAATGAAAGGTAACTGGGGAGTTTTTCTGCCTATTCCCAGGCCTCACTGATTGAGATTGTCCCTCTGTTGCCTTGGCTAGAGCCAGGCAAGCTCCTGTTTGGCTGGAGAACTTACAAGCAGAGAAGTGTTGAAGTTGGGAAGCCAGCAGAATACTCTGTGCCAGCTCAAGGTGAGCTGACGGGATGGGGGCCAGATGTCAACAGTGTCTGTCAGTAGGCATTGTCATTAAATAATCCGGATGTGAAATGAAAGCCTCAATTTAGGTGGAGACCTAGAAGAAATGTGAGTTGAGAAGTGATCAGAGAAGTAAGTGGTAGAATTTGGTAGCTGATAGAATATAGAACATGAAGAGGTACTCTAAAAAGGCACTGAGGTTTAAGAGTTAGATAACTTGTGATTGAGGAGGATTGACAGAGATCAAATTGCCAATATCCACTGCATCATCAAAAAAGCAAGAGAGTTCCAGAAAAACATCTATTTCTGCTTTATTGACTACGCCAAAGCCTTCAACTGTGTGGATCACAATAAACTGTGGAAAATTCTGAAGGACATGGGAATACCAGACCACCTGACGTGCCTCTTGAGAAACCTGTATGCAGGTAGAACAGGACATGGAACAACAGACTGGTTCCAAATAGGAAAAGGAGTACGTCAAGGCTGTATATTGTCACCCTGCTTGTTTAACTTATATGCAGAGTACATCATGAGAAACGCTGGGCTGGAAGAAGCACAAGCTGGAATCAAGATTGCCGGGAGAAATATCACTAACCTCAGATATGCAGATTACACCACCCTTATGGCAGAAAGTGAAGAGGAACTAAAAAGACTCTTGATGGAAGTGAAAGAGGAGAGTGAAAAAGTTGGCTTAAAGCTCAACATTCAGAAAACTAAGATCATGACATCTGGTCCCATCACTTCATGGGAAATAGATGGTGAGACAGTGGAAACAGTGTCAGGCTTTATTTTTTTGGACTCCAAAATCACTGCAGATGGTGACTGCAGCCATGAAATTAAAAGACGCTTGCTCCTTGGAAGGAAAGTTGTGACCAACCTAGATAGCATATTAAAAAGCAGAGACATTACTTTGCCAACAAAGGTCCATCTGGTCAAGGCTATGGTTTTTCCATTGGTCATGTATGGATGTGAGAGTTGGACTGTGAAGAAAGCTGAGTGCCGAAAAATGGATGCTTTTGAACTATGGTGTTGGAGAAGACTCTTGAGAGTCCCTTGAACTGCAAGGAGATCTGAACAGTCCATCCGAAAGATCATTCCTGGGTGTTCACTGGAAGGACTGATGCTGAAGCTGAAATTCCAATACTTTGGCCACCTGATGCAAAGAGCTGACTCATTGGAAAAGACCCTGATGCTGGGAGGGATTGGGGGCAGGAGGAGAAGGGGACAACAGAGAATGAGATGGCTGGATGGCATCACCGACTCGATGGGAATTAGTTTGAGTAAGCTCCGGGAGTTTGTGATAGACAGGGAGGCCTGGCGTGCTGCGATTCATGGGGTCGCAAAGAGTCGGACATGACTGAGCGACTGAACTGAACTGAACTGACAGGCCACTGACATTCAGATTAGTTTTTTCAGGAGCATAAAGAATTACAGGGTGTTGGAGAGTGTTGATAAAGTCGAGTGTAGATGACTAATCATTCAAAAGGGCAGGTAGGGTGGAGATTTGAACAGTGCTGCCACCTGCACTAGATATGTAGTGCCTGACCTATACTTGATCAGGCCTTTGTTAAATTAACCTCTAAGTTCCTGGGGCTAGCGCACTCCTGAAATATGTCAATGTGGTGAAAATATGGGACTAAATGTGACATAAAGTAATACAGTTTTTACCTGTAAAATCCTGAAGAAAGAATTGCTAATATTTTTAGCAGAGGCATTATTTAGATGAATAAATTTTGATTTTTTAAAAAAATAATCAACAGTATTTTGATAAAGACAAAAAATCAACAAGATTTCTTAGAATGGTTCTCATTCGAATATGGCGGTTGCCTTTGTTTTTCTATGATTCTATATGTTCTAAAGTAGTTTTAATGTTATATTGTGTTAATAGTCCATAATGTTGATAGCTGTTAATTTAATTACCTTTCCATCTTGCTTAAGTCAGAAGTGACTTAAGGTGGAAATTACCATCAGCTGGTTTTTGCTTCTGTTAGCGCTCTTTTACTCATTCATTTTTGTTCTCCATTTCTCTTCTTCTGCCTTCCTCCTCCCCCTAGTGTTTGTCACAATTATTTCAACTAGTACGGTTGACTATACTTTGCCATTATTGGACAGTTTTTTTTTTTCTTTATGGCAAATGCTGATTGATGTTTATACATCTCAACTAAGGAATTTAAAACTAGATTGCTAGATTAGAGCTATGCAGTTTGGGTGATTTACTGTGGCAGTGTTAAGTAAGATAAGGTTCTAGAACAGAAAGATTGCAAGTGGAGAAATCAGGAGATTATATAGTTCTCTTAGTTCAGTCGCTCAGTCATGTCTGACTCTTTGCAACCCCATGAACTGCAGCACGCCAGATCTCCCTGTCCATCACCAACTCCTGAAATTTACCCAAACTCATGTCCGTTGAGTTGGTGATACCATCCAACCATCTCATCATCTGTCGTCCCCTTCTCCTCCTCCCCTCAATCTTTCCCAGCCTCAGGGTCTTTTCAAATGAGTCAGCTCTTTGCATCAGGTGGCTAAAATATTGGAGTTTCAGCTTCAACGTCAGTCCTACCAGTGAACAACCAGGACTGATCTCCTTTAGGATGGACAGGTTGGATCTCCTTGCAGTCCAAGGGACTCTCAAGAGTCTTCTCCAACACCATAGTTAAAAAGCAACTGTCATGTTAAGCTAGAGAGGATAGTCTTATTCCTCCTCACGTTTTTTTGTCTGAAACTGATGCCTAGAACCACATTTTCCTGGTTCATTGAATTCCCCAGCTCCACTCTAAGACATCTGTTTTCACAACTTCTCCACTTTCTTCAAGCCTCTTTTCCCAGTTCTTACTTCCAACTGATATCTTGCTTTCCTACCTAATGGAGAAAATAAAAGAAATTAGAGGAGAACTTCCACACATGCACACCACCACCACCACATACCAAAAGGTCTCCACATCCTCCAGCTCCCCCCTGTTGCTGAGGATGTATTGTTTACCTTCACTCTAAGGGCCACCCTCCACCTGTGCTTTCGCTCCTGACCCCACTCATCCTTGACCCCAAGGGCTGTAGCCTACCAGGCTCCTCTGTCTGTGGAATTTTCCAGGCAAGAACCCAC